TCTTTTCCAGTGCGCCCCCAGCCTCTGTAACCACACTGGAGTAATACGCCTAAAAATATTATGCTTTTCATGGCTGTGTAATTTTGACAAGTGCTGTATTTATTACAATCATTCATATTTTCTTACATTTTTATTTATTTCCTAAATAAAGCTCACTCACTTCAAAAAGGTTTGCATGTTACTTTCACTGTAAAATAGGGAATTGAGCAACTTGGAGATGCGATGATAGCGGTTTGCTATAGAAACAGCTGAGCAGTGCTGCAGCACTCACCTGCTTCTCCTGTAGTAGCACCAAGCAGGTGTAGCCAGCGTGGGGTCCAGCCGTGCTGGCACGGCCCGACGACCCAGAAAGACCCAGCTCGTCCCGAAGAGCTGATGATGCCAACCGAGGCGCGGGGGATGACGTGCCTTGCCCACGGTCCTGCAGGAAATCGGTGGAAACTTTGGGAATGAACCCTGCAGCATCTCTGCTGTCATGTCAGTGCCACAGCGATGGGGTCACCTTTTCTTTGCCTCTGGAAGTCGGTGTGTTTGTACGGAAGACGTAACACCCGATAGATGGGGGTTTGACCTGGAAAATGGAACAAAGGGTTGTACAATGCCAACTCCCGTGGCGCTACCCCCCCGCCAGCCGGGCCCCGTGCGTGGGGGGATCTGGGTGCAGGGAGGTGAGCGTGGGGGACCACGGCAGGATGGGGCCCAGCCAGCTTATTTCCAGAGCCGCTGGAAATTAATTAGCTGCTTTTATCGTAGTGGGCATTGACTTCCCAGGGCGGCTTGGCTGCCTCTTGGCTCCACCGTGACTTTTTTGTGCAAAATCCTTTTCCATGTAGAGCTGTTATTTCTTCAAAATAATTCGGGGGGTTTTCCTTGCGTGTGAGAGACAGAGAGAGAAGGTGGGGGGAAATGAGTAAAACCGTGTGTGGGTGAGAGCTGGGGAAAGAGAGAAAGTGCGTGGGAGAGAAGATATGAATATGTGTGTGCCAGAGAGAATATTTATGTGTATGTGTCTGCATCGAGGGAAGCAAAAATGTATGTGTGCGCTTACGTGTGTGTGCAGGTTGAGAGATACATCCAGCGGAGAGTGAATGACCCGACGCCTCTGTGCTTTTCTCTAGTGTGATTCTACCAGGAGTAATTACACTGATTTTCTTCAAATCCCGTGCACTGACAGGTTTTCACTGACGGCAGGAGCCCGGTGTCGCTGCAGGCAGGAGGTCAAATCGCCCAGAAGCAGCACAAGCTGCAGGGAAGCAGAAGCATCCATAACTGGCCAAATAAATACCCCGGAGAAAGGACACGATGCAGCAGGGCTCTGTCCATCCCGATGTGACCGACACCAGTCTGGGCCTGACCCAGGGCAGGACGGGGTGGGCTGGAGACCTCGCTCTGCAGCGGGGAGCAGGGGGACCCCGCGCAGCCCTTGCTGGGGCATCCTCCTTGGAGGACAGGGCTGATGATGGAAGAAGGGACCCGCTTGGTAAAAATCGATTTTAAAAGTTTATTGGAAGCCCTTTATTTCCAGTTTTCTTTCTAGCCAGAGATTCCCAATGGGGAAATCCCTGAAGGAAAATGGGAGGTAGGCTGCAGGGCTGTAGAGTTTGGAGGTCCCTGTGCTCATCGTCCCGCAGCGCAGGGCTGGGGCAGAGGTGCCTCTGAGCGCTTCCACCGGAGGACCGTGGTGCGGAGCCAGCTTTTGGGGTGACTCAGGCCTGGATGGCAAATGTCTGCAAAGGGAGGGAATTTGTTACTGGCTGTATCTGTGGGGTGGACAGCTCGTTGGTGTAAAACCGTCCCCGGGGCGGGATGTGGATGAAGCATTGCTCATTTACAGCAGGTAAAAGCCAGCCTCCTGGGAAGCAGAGGCAAGCTGAACTGCCGTGAAACTTGTGAAAGTGGAACGTTTATTGTGGGCTCTGCGTAATGGATGGGAAGGTCCTGAGGTTACTCATGGCCTGAAAAGCAGCCGGGCACCCTGGAGGCACAGGCTCAAGCCCGGGGATGGAGCCCATGAGGGAGCATCGCGGGCTGGAGGAGCAGGGCCGGCTCGGGGGCTGCCCTCGGCTCCTGGAGGGGAAAAGCCAAGAGCTGGAGCCCGTCGTTCCCGCGTGCGGGTTGGGAACACCCTGCTAGGGCAAAGGGGGAGCAAACTCCCCCAAGGCAAGCGAGGGGCTCCCAGAGCCACCCGTGGGGCCATGTGCCGGATCTCGGGGTGGCCGGTGGCGGGGGAGTCCCGTCTGCACAGCACCGAGCCCCACGGACACAGCCCGAATTCTTCTCGCACACTGACG